TGGGGAATTAAAATTGAGGAAAAAAAAGCAAAAATAGGACATGGATTAAATATGTGGAAATTGAATGCAAATGCAATTAAGATAATGCTTTGGCTAGGAAAGATATTTTAAACTGATATGATTGATATGATTAGAAAAATGTAATAAATGTTGATATGCAATTGTATGTTTTCTAACAATAAGATTTGTATTTGCCTAATGCGAAAAATTGTTATTACCAGAAGAAGAGAGGATGTAACATTGGACTTAGTTGGAAAAACATATATGCATCACAGAATTATTAATGGACTCAGTCACCACGTTGTTTATAGAGCGCTTGTTTGTGAAAATAGAAAATGAATAAAATATTTATTTTTTAAAAAAGGACAGGACAAGGAGCATACAGGTGGCAAGTCTTCCCACAGTTTATCCTATTTACTGAGATTTAGCCATGTGAAATGAATCCCAATTAATGTTCCAAGATGATTTCCCACTCACCTTGTCCAATTCTGTTCGTGCAAAGTCTACGCTAGAACAAATACGAGCTATTTTAGCAGAGAAACTTTTCCTTTTCCTCTACTCCACAAAAAGGAGTGAATTGCTGTAAAAAGGTCACTGGGATGTATACAACGGCAGAACTGTAAAAAAAAAAAGTCACTATTCTGCATAGGCCTGAAAATGAACTCTTACTCATGTCCATCCTGATTCAAATTTATTCTTCCCAGGTGACTCATCTGTTGCTTCATTTGACAGGATCCAGTAAATGAATTGTTGTTGTTGTTATTGTTAATTGCGAAGTCGTGCCCGACCCATCGCGACCCCATGGACAATGCTCCTCCAGGTCCTCCTGTCCTCTACCATCTCCTGGAGTCCATTTAAGTTCACACCTACTGCTTCAGTGACTCCATCCAGCCATCTCATTCTCTGCCGTCCCCTTCTTCTATTGCCCTCAATCTTTCCCAGCATTAGGCCCTTCTCCAGTGAGTCCTTCCTTCTCATTAGGTGGCCAAGTATTTGAGTTTCAACTTCAGGATCTGGCCTTCTAAAGAGCAGTCGGGGTTGATCTCTTCTAGGACTGACCGGTTTGAACGCCTTGCAGTCCAAGGGACTCGCAGGAGTCTTCTCCAGCACCATAGTTCAAAGGCCTCAATTCTTTTGCACTCAGCCTTTCTTATGGTCCAACTTTCACAGCCATACATTGCAACTGGGAAAACCATGGCCTGGACTATATGCACTTTTGTTGGCAGGGTGATGTCTCTGCTTTTTAGTATGCTGTCTAGATTTGCCATAGCTTTCCTCCCCAGAAGCAAGCATCTTTTAATTTCTTGGCTGCAGTCCCCGTCTGAGGTGATCTTGGAGCCCAGAAAAATAAAATCTGTCACTACCTCCATTTCTTCCCCATCTATTTGCCAGGAATTGAGAGGGCCGGATGCCATGATTTTGGTTTTCTTAATGTTGAGTTTCAAGCCAGCTTTTCCACTCTCCTTTCTCACCCGCATCAAGAGGTTCTTTAGCTCCTCTTCACTTTCTGCCATTAGAGTGGTATCATCTGCATATCTTAGGTTGTTGATATTTCTTCCGGCAATCTTAATTCCAACTTTTGTTTCATCTAGCCCTGCCTTTCTCATGATGTGCTCTGCATATAAGTTAAATAGGCAGGGCGACAGTATACAGCCTTGCCGGATTCCTTTTCCAATTTTGAACCAATCAGTGGTTCCGTGTCCAGTTCTCACTGTTGCTTCTTGACCTGCATATAGGTTTCTCAAGACACAAATGAGATGGTCTGGTATTCCCATCTCTTTAAGAACTTGCCACAATTTGTTGTGATCCACACAATCAAAGGCTTTAGCATAGTCAATGAAGCAGAAGTAAATGTTTTTCTGGAACTCCTTAGCTTTCTCCATGATCCAGCGTATGTTGGCAATTTGATCTCTAGTTCCTCTGCCTCTTCGAAATCCTGCCTGTACTTCTGGTAGTTCTCGATCCACATACTGCTGGAGTCTAGCTTGTAGAATTTTAAGCATAACTTTACTAGCATGTGAAATGAGTGCAATGGTGCGATAGTTTGAACATTCTTTGGCATTGCCTTTCTTTGGAATTGGAATGTAAACTGATATTTTCCAATCCTGTGGCCACTGTTGAGTTTTCCAAATTTGCTGGCAAATTGAGTGTAGCACTTTTACTGCATCATCTTTTAAGATTTTGAATAGCTCAGCTAGAATACTGTCACCTCCACTAGCTTTGTTGTTGCTCATATTTTCTAATGCCCATTTCACTTCACATTCTAGGATGTCTGGTTCGAGGTCAGTGACCATCTCATTGTGGTTATCTGGGACATTAAGCTCATTCTTGTATAGTTCTTCTGTGTAGTTTTGCCATCTCTTCTTAATCTCTTCTGCCTCTGTTAGGTCCCTGCCATTTTGGTCCTTTATCATGCCCATCTTTGCATGAAACGTTCCCTTCATATCTCCAATTTTCTTGAAGAGATCTCTGGTCCTCCCTATTCTGTTGTTTTCTTCTATTTCTTTGCACTGTTCATTTAAGAAGGCATTCTTATCTCTTCTAGCTACTCTCTGGAATTCTGCATTCAATTGGGTGTATCTTTCTCTTTCTCCTTTGCCTTTCGCTTCCCTTCTTTCCTCAGCTATTTGCAAAGCTTCCTCAGACAGCCATTTTGCTTTCTTGCATTTCTTTTTTTTTTGGGATGGTTTTAGTTGCTACCTCTTGTACAATGTTGCGAACTTCCATCCATAGTTCTTCAGGCACTCTGTCTATCAGATCTAATTCCTTAAATCTATTTGTTACCTCTACTGTATATTCATCAGGAATATGATTTAGTTCATACCTGAGTGGCCTAGTGCTTTTCCCTACTTTTTTCAATTTAAGCCTAAATTTTGCAACGAGAAGCTCATGATCTGAGCCACAGTCAGCTCCTGGTCTTGTTTTTACTGACTGTATACAGCTTCTCCATCTTTGGCTGCAGAGCACATAGTCAATCTGATTTCTATGTTGACCGTCTGGTGATGTCCATGTGTAGAGCCGTCTCTTGGGTTGTTGGAAAAGAGTGTTTGTTATGACCATCGTATTCTCTTGACAAAATTCTATTAGCCTGTGCCCTGCTTCATTTTGTACTCCAAGGCCAAACTTGCCTGTTATTCCGGTTATCTTTTGGCTTCCTACCTTAGCATTCCAATCCCCCATGATGATAAGGACATCATTTTTTGGTGTTAATTCTATAAGGTGCTGTAGGGCTTCATAGAACCGGTCAATTTCATCCTCTTCAGCACCAGTGGTTGGGGCATAATTTTGGACTATTGTGATATTGAATGGTTTGCCTTGAATTCGAATTGAGATCATTCTGTCATTTTGGGGATTGTATCCCGTATTGCTTTTCCTATTCTTTTATTGACTATGAAGGCGACTCCATTTCTTCTGAGGGATTCTTGCCCATAGTAGTATACCTGATGGTCATCTGAGTTAAATTCACCCATTCCTGTCCATTTTAGTTCGCTGATTCCTAAGATGTCGATGTTCAGTAAATGAATATATTCCCTAAATCTATTTGGAAGCAATCTCATTTAATACTCCAATTCTAGCCCAACCAGGCATCTGTCAGAACTACCTACCAAATTGTGGGAAATCCCCAAATACTTACAGGAGTCTAACTGGATCTATTAGCTACCTATGTCAGACTATCCTTACATATGAAGACCAAAATATGAAATATGTGAGACTAAAACAAGCGATGAATGGTTGCAGGATTTGGGCTTAGCTAGTCTAGAGAAAAAAAGGACTAGGGATGACATGATAGCAGTATTCCAGTATTTGAGGAGCTGTCACAAAGAAGAGGGGATCAGCTTATTTGCCAAAGCATCAGAAGGCAAGACAAGAAACAATGGAAGGAAACTAATCAAGGAAAGAAGCAACGTGGAATTAAGGGGAAACTTCCTAGCAGTGAAAACTATTCACCAGTGAAACAGCTTGCCTTCAGAAGTTGTGGGTGTTCCATCACTGATGTTTTTAAAGAAGAGACTGGACAACCACTTGTCTGAAATGGTATAGGGTCTCCTACTTGAGCAGGGGGTTGGACTAGAAGACTTCCAAGATTTTATTCTATTCTGTTCTGTTCTGTTCTACTCTACTCTACTGTACTCTACTCTACAACCATTCTATAGAGGTCCAAAGAACACAAGGAGTGACCTTACAATGGCAAAGAATTGACATCTTCAAAATTCAAATAATCTATCAAGTATTTGCAGGTAATCTAGAGTTAGCATATGGCCATCAGAATAAATTGGATGCAGCATAGTCTGAGATAAGTCCATTCATTTTTGGCCATGAATTCCTTATACCTTGTCCACCCAGAGATGGATATTGCCATGTGACAATATGCGCACTATACTAGCAGCATCCCAAGCTTGGCTGTGTCATCCAGGCATTTAGACACTCACCTGTGAAGCATTATCACTATCAGGAAATGTTAACATCACCTCCCTTCCAGTCCCTGAGATCATTGCTTATGGGAGTATCTGAAGGAGAAGGTGACTCTTTAATGCAGCTGCATTTCAGTAATACATGTAAAGTCTGCTCACTTCTCTATGACTAAGTTTTGGACAAATATGGTTTCATTTCCTATGGGCCTAGTGTTCATCAATAGCCTAAAGTTGTGGTCTTTACCAATCATACCCTGGTCCCAGGAATAAGAACCAGAAGAGATAATAAGCAACAGATTGCCCATTTCAGATTTCCCTAAAATACTGTAGCTTGTACAAGACAATTTCCACAAGTCCCCACAGAATCCATCACATCCCTTACTGTTCTCAATCACTTTGCATGTTCAGTTTGCCAGGGCACTATCTGATCAAGTGACTTTTACTGTCCTATATGCAATCTTTGCTTACCTAACTCCCCAGTCCATTACTACACACATGTATTTTGTTATTGTAATCTGCCTTCTGTAAGCAGAAAGCTGAATAGATTTAACATAATAGTAATCATGTAATCATAACATTAAACAGAAATATTTTTGACTGAGTTTTATTTACAAATCACAGTGATTTTCATTGTGCAATGAGGACTGATTTATGTATTTGTACAGTAATTATATATAAGACAGAATTTGCAGGAAATCTCTCTGATATCTGTAAACCTTGAATATTTTATATTATCAATTTGGTTTTGTACATAGATGAAACTAATTCATTTAACTGTACATCAATATTTATAAAGCAGTTGTTTGTCATAGAAAAGTGCAAAACATAGTAAATCTGTACATAGTACAGTACAATGGAATTACCCTACATTTCTTGAAAGCTGAAAAATTCCGCAGTAAAAGAATTAATTCCTCCATATACCATATACCACACATTTGATTTGCTATATTCATGCAGTTTTCAAGATCCAGTCCTTTAGCTAAACTTGGTTTAGTTCCTAATTTTGATAGATTAATATTTCTTTTATATATAATAGCCTTGCTTAAAACGCGATCTCATGAACATTAAATAAATTTACAGATAATATATCCAGATAGGATTTTCTAAACAAATACATTTTTAATGGTTAGTTGTTTTGACTTTGCTCACCAATCTATCATGTTTTTCTAATGTGAAAAATATTTCTGCTTCAAGTATAAATAGCCATAAAGAATATTAATTCTAATAAAATAAGACTCTATCTAGGGTGATTTAACAGGAGCTAACATTCAGTTTTCATAAACAGGATGTTCACTATCCAATTATTATAAGGCTTTCTGTTGACCCCAATGGAACAGTGGTCTCATATGCAGATTATAAAATGCAGCACTGATGTAAATTCAAATTAACTTCATAATGAGTGGAAACATTGCTCATAGCAACTGTCCATTCACAACTAATTGCTGTGTATTTAATGATAATTGTTTTGATCTATTACAGTCTTTAAAAGTTCTAGATGGCTTCAGTGCTACCTAAGACATTGCCTTTCCCATTTTGGTTAAGATCTGCAGGAAAGCCTTTTGAGGTACCATCACTCAACAGAGGCTCATTTGTTAGCTTTATAATCGTTCTGGAATTATGGAATGCTTTCATTTCAGAACTAAGGAAAAGGATTTGAAAAGGAATTTTAAATTAGCACCATTTTGTAATTTGGCCTTTAGAAGTTTTTATATTTTAATTCTTCAATATGCTTTTTATTTTTACAATAACAGTTTCTATTATTGGTATGATTATAATTATTGTTCACTACTTGGGTAATGTTTGGTGGTACAGAGATGTCATTTCCTATTTTGAAGAAACGCACTACTTCAGTTTTCCTTTGCTTTACAGACTTGCAAAGGCATAAATATGAAGGTTCTAAAGATACTATTTCATCACCACCGTAAGTGAACAGTAGATAAACAAGGCTGTAGCTAAATGAGAACTGTCTAATCATTCCTTTCTCCTCTTATTTTTCACAGTGGACTTTAAAAGCTTACTTAGTGTCCACAAAAAGTGGTAGCTAAGATTTTTGGAGTGTTTTGGTTTCAACCAATGCGCTATCAAGCAAGGGAAGAAGAGTAACTAGTGTAATAAGAATATTAAACAACTTCTAAACATACACAGGTAGATCCTATGGAAGCTGGGTAACCTCAAGCCCTAGCAGTAGTATTAACTTTGAACCATTAAGTCAACAATCCTTAACTTAATATTAGTATCTCATAAGTATATATTCTTACTCTGCAGTTTATATCTTCATTTGGTTTTTTTCCCCTAGCACAAACTCGCAACCTCATGTGACGTGTCACGACGTATCGTGACTTTTTTGCCATGGCCAACAATGGGGTAGGCATGATTTCGCTATGATGCATCCAGCCCATGGGCCGGCAGTTTGACACCCCTGCCCTAGTAGGACAAATGGCATGAGTTAATCTCACTTACAGAGGTTTAAAATGTAGAATATCCAGTTTCAGAAGAGTTCACAGATATTCATGCCTTAAATGTTCATGTAATGATATAGAAGCTAGAAGATTTTTGATGCGGAAGTCTTATTTGAATTTTTGAGGTATACTTTTATAACAACTTCCTTATAAACGAGCAAGTAGTTAAACTTCCAAATAAAACACTTGACTGCCACCATCCGCCCATTTTTATATTTTAAGAATACCTACAGCTGTAGAGTACACATGTGACCAAAAGGTCACATATCTTGGGCATAATTATTTTGGAATTTAGACTTTGCTTTAAAACATAACAGCTTCTTCTCTATGTAATATAAATTTAGATTTATTTTCTTTATTTTAACCCAAGCCTTTAATTTATTTTGCTTGCTACTTCTCACACATTTTCTCCAATTTTGGATAAAGTTGCTTAAATAAAAAAGGAATTATGTGATGGGTATGTATATAGGCATTTAATTAAAAGAATTTTAAAATATTAAATGTGGGTAGGATACTTGGCAAGTGCCAAGATAGATATCTGAAGGTAAATAAATGGTAAGGGACAGTAAGTTGATTGCAGGTAAGATAATGCCAGGTAACAATGAACATTCAATTGTGGCCCTTAAATTGTTTTATCTACTGATATCTACTGAAATTTGCAATATTCAATAATGGGCATGCAACTTAAATCTATGTTTAGATAGGGATCTTAGTTTTGATGACCTTCAGGCACCTGGAAGGGTAATAAACTCTAATCCCATTAACAACAATTGTTTCACTATAATTTGCTAAAATTTCCTAAATTCAAGAAATAAAAAAACACATTTTACATAGTATGTAGTCATAGAGAATTAAGATATATAGCCATGTCATTTTAACATACTTTTTAAAAGAAAATATAATACACACTGAAAGGAGAAATAGAACAATAAGTTGTGAAAGGTTTTTATTTTTCAGCTTTCAAAATGTATGCCTGGAGGTGTAAAGCATTGGAAATGTTACCGTTTTCTCAAAACCTATGTGTATATTTCTTTTTACAAAGAATTATAAAATGTATAGAAGATGCTTAAACATGTATCATTTCAAGATTTGTTTTACTTCTAGGCTAAATCTTGGAAAACATTTAAAAATAAAAACCATAGACTCTTTAAAATACAAAAATTTACATTTCTGCACAGTTTCTGTGCTTTAGATTTACTGATTTCATTATATAAATATACACTAATGTGTTTTACAGGATAATTTTAGTATAAACTTATACAACTAGGGTATGAAATAAGTATGCAAATAAAATTTGGGGACAACAAAATTAAATTCAAATTTAGAAACCCTATAGTTTTAATTGCTACACATCAGAGTAGGTGCATCAGTATTTTTTTAACTGAATGAATGCCAATTCTATACTACTGAACATGAATAGTATCTATTTTTTCAACCTTTATCTTGTCTTTTTTTAAAAAAAAAAATCTATGCATAACACAGTAATATTCACTTTCAAGATATTTTTGGAAGTATTTTCTGTTCTTCATTTCCAGTTTCCATTTAAAACATCAATCTTCTTTCAATTTCTAGCAATTAGATAAAAATGAATATTCAATATACTGGTATTCCATTGTAGTGAATATTTAACTTTTTTCATTAAACTTCAGAAAATAAGATTTTATAGGTCCTTAATTACCATGTGCAAAGAATTATACTGATTTTTATACAATAAAAATGCAAAATAAAAGCCATCTAATAGTTGCAATTATGCCTATAGAAGAAATCTATCTAGTCTTCACAGTAACCAAAATAATTACCAAACATTGTATTAATATTATATTTTTATTAAAAGACAGTCATGGAGCCTTAAGGCATTTCCTTCTATTTTTAATTTAAAAATATCAATGTGTGATTTTATAAATTAACTACATGCAACAATGTATAGATTTTAACATTAAGACAGTAAATACACTGGTTTATAAATATGGTGCTTTGGAAGTGCCTAATACCTTAATAATTTGATGTATCACACATTTAGAAGTTTTTGAAAATTTCTAAATCTTTAGGAGGTACTGGTGGTATTTTGTTCCAATCATCTTCAGGGTAAGCTTCAAAATTAGATGTATCACCATCATTTGATATTTTCGGCACTATAGGAGGCTGAATGAAACAATAATATAAGTTTTAAGTAAATAAATATAATCTTATGTGAAGATTAAAAATTATATTTTATCCTACTTTTTTGAGATTCTATGGCCCAGCTGTCAACAGCATCTGGGATGAGTTTAAGTTATCTAAGAATAATATTGCTTGCTCTGAGGAACTGTAGATCTTGATCCCTTCCAGTTAAGTTTCACACCCAAGTGTGAGATGGAACTGCTTGTTCTTATGGATGACTTCAAGGAAGTTCAAATATTAGAAGTCTACAGAGCTTTTAATACCATACCATCAAGCATGGTATTTAACTGCACCACTTGTTAAAGTTGGAAGAAGGAAAAACTGTTCTGCAATAGTTCCATTCCTCCTTGATTGGACAGTTCCAAGTGGTGGCCATAAGGAGAAGCGTGTTTCAACTTGTCCATTCATTGTGGGCTGTCCTCTTTACATATATTGTTTGGCTTCTACAGAAAACTGCTGAGAGGAATCAGCTTTCACTTTGAGTTAAGATATCATTAGTGTGCTAATGATTGTTATACTTTTGAAGCTTGAAAGCAGCAAATACAATCCAACAGCGATCATGCAATCCATTTTAGTATTTAGGAAAGAGGAAAAAAAATCCTGATCTTTCCCACCATAAATTAGGTCCAAAAACTATGGATTTAATATAAAAGCTTGGACTTGCTGACTATCATTAGGCACAGTAATTATGTCAAGCCCCATGGGCTCGACATTCATGGGAGGGGGGAGGGAGAAGGCGCTGATGCCAGCCGCACTGAGCCCCGCAGCTCAACTCCAGCGACGCCACCAGACAGGGAGGCCTCGCAGCCCAGGACTGGCGCCCAGGACCGGCATCACTGAACAGCTGGGCAGCCGCACAGCTTGGCCCTAGGAACGCCGGCAAGGAATGCTTCCGGACAGGTGGGCGACCTTGCGGCTCGGGCCCGGTGATGCCGACAAGGAATGCTGCCAAACAGCTGGGTGGCCTTGTGGCTCAGAACCGGCGCCGCCAATCAGCTGAGCAGCGTTGTGGTGCTGGTTAGACATCGCTAAGTCTGGACTGATTGCTGCGGTGCTCAGGAGGGGGATGGGGATCCTACCTCTGCTGTGGAGAGGCTCTGATGACCCGCTGCACGGTACGGAAACCGGCAGCAACCGGCAGGGACTAAACGGCGACCCAGGGGGTTGATAGGCCCTTGTGGTGCTGCCTTTAGGCACAGGCACCGGATGCTGGCTTGCTGACTGGGGGGTTGGAGCTGTGGGAAGGGAATGTATATAAAGCACTGGGAGTAGATCACTCCCAGCACTGACTTTCTATCAGCGTCCTTACCAGTCCCTGGTTCCCACAGACGCAAAAAGAAGATGACAAGATGACTGGCAAACAGGAACGGTCTGACAAGTGGTTTATTCTTCTCCAACAGGCCCACTTTGTCCCATGCAAGGGGTTGCTGTCCGCTCGGAAGCTGGCCAAACTATTTATCATGCAGGTATCACCTGCACAGGGTGCCCCGACGGATCATCTCAGATCAGGGGGGATGCAGTTCACAGCCTGTTTTTGGTGTGAGTTTATCCGTTCTATCAGGTCGTCCCAAGGACTCAGCTCGGCTTATCACCCCAACACCAACGGGGCGGTGAAACAGGCAAATGCAATGGTGGAGCGATACCTACAGAGCTATGTCTTGTACCAACAGACAGACTGGGTTGACCTACTGCCGTTCGCAGAAGTGGCGTATAACAACGCGGTACACAGCAGCACTTGTTTTGCCCCCTTCCAGGTGGTGAACGGCTTCGACTTTGTCCCAATCCCCGAGTATTCACAAGGGGACCCCTAACCCCAGGATTGGATAACTCTCATGGGAGGGGCGTGGCAAAATGCGAAGAAGGCCTTAGTAAAGGCTGAGGAGGCTGCAAAAGTGCAGGCAGATAAGAATAGAAGGCCCCCAAAGCCTTTTCAGATGGGTGACCTGGTGTACCTCTCAACAAAATAGCTACGCCTGAGGTTGCCCTGTATGAAGTTGGGTCCAAAATATCTAGGGCCATTCCATGCAGGTTATCAATCCAGTAACTGTATGGCCACAGCTACCCCGGTTCCTGGGGAAGATACACCCGGTCTTCCACTATAGCCTACTGAAACCGGTAGAGGGTTCCTCCTATAAGCCCATGAAAGGGGTATTAGGGCCTGTCACCAGGGACCATTACAGAATACATGAGATCCTGGACTGCCGGATCCGACGGGGATGGTTACAGTACCTGGTGTGGTGGATGGGGTACCCTATTACAGAGGCATCCTGGATGGGGGAAGCGGATGTCCATGCCCCTCTCTTGTTGCAGAGGTTCCATCGATAGTGTCCCAGTAAGCCAGGAGGGCGGTCGGCTGAACCGTCCACCACAGCGGGTGAATGCTTACATGTTTCTCCTTGCCTTCCAGGTGGAGCCTTGGTAGAGGGAGACGCCTGCCAAGCCTCGTGGGCTCGGCATTCACGGGAGGGGGGAGGGAGAAGGCGCCGATGCCAGCCGCACCGAACCTCGCAGCTTGACTCCAGCGACGCCGCCAGACAGGGAGGCCTCGTAGCCCAGGACCAGCATCACTAAACAGCTGTGCACTCGCACAGCTCGGTCCTAGGAATGCCGACAAGGAACGCTTCCAGATGGCTGGATGACCTCGCGGCTCGGACCCGGCGATGCCGACAAGGAACACTGCCAAACAGCTGGGTGGCCTCATGGCTCAGAACTGGATGCTGGCTTGCTGACTGGGGGGGTGGAGCTGTGGGAAGGGAATGTATATAAAGCGCTGGGAGTAGTTCACTCCCAGTGCTGACTTTTCTTGTCGGAATAAACCACTTGTCAGACCGTTCCTGTTTGCCAGTCACCTTGTCATCCTCTTTTTGTGTCTGTGGGAACCAGGGACTGGTAAGGATGCTGATAAATTAGTTAACTACAACTGCATGTTGTAATTAATAATGAAATAGTTAAGTGATTGCATTCTTCTCCTGGCTTCTTCCACCTATCTGAAATTTGGTAATTGAACACATCATCTATATGCAATGTGAACATGTTATTTCCAGCTGCAGCAAATTATAGGATGAAACTATGATTCATGATATTCTAATTTTAGGTGTAGCAATACCCTAAAAATAGACTCCATTCTGCATTTGGACAAATTATTCAACCATGAATGGGTAGTTTGGAAGCTGTGCCTTTTGGCTGTTCAAAAGAAAAACCTGCACATGAAGTGCAAATGTACTTGGGACAAAGACCCAGGTAAACATTTTATCTTCAAGCATGAGATATAAAAAGGCCACATTAGGCCTTTCACATAGATTTTTAAATACAAACTCCTCTGTAATAATTCAATACAGTAAATATTTCTTGAATGTATATCTTCCCAAGCAGAATCTGTTTTCATGGTACTTCACCTTTAATTTCCTCTGTGGTACAGCATCCCAGTCTATAGACCTGAACCATCGGTGTCTCTTTATATCATCAGCTCCATTCTTTGGAAAAACAAAAGTTTATTTAATACAAGTTCCTAAAAATATTGTGGCATAAAGTCTGAATATATACTGAAATCAACATTGATTTCTACAATCTGTAATCTGAAGACATATGCCTAATGCACACTGTTCAAGTTGATCATTTTTTTCTGGTATTGCAAAAAATACTGGATTTCCAGGAACTTCTGTAGACAGTATAAATATCAATATTGTCAAGATGGAAAATAGAATGTTGTGATGCAAGTACCTCATCCGCTTTGTATACACATCAGTAGTCAAAAGTAACAGGGCTTGCATCACAATGCTTGTCTACTATATTGCCAATTTTGATCCTTTTTTAAGCAGATATCATATTAAATAAAACAGGCCCCTCAACAATGACCACATTACAATTTTAGGTGTCACTGTTAGTGGTAAAGTGATATCTTACACATAGAGAATACAGTTCTTCCTCCATCTATTTGGAGTACTAGATACCTGTCCCAATTTTGTAATTAGAAATGGATTCTATGTCATATTTCACAATGAGTTCACTACCTATTTCACATAAATCACATTATGTGACCTTATCTACCTGAATTTTTCTTGGGTCCAGAACCAAATGTACTGGATAAAAAAAATATAGTGGGACAAAAGTCTGTCCTTAGGATTTACAGATTTACATGCTATCTAATCTCTTTAGATAACAAATAATGAGCTAATGTGATTTTTGTATTGCTTATACAAAGGAGATTTGCAAGCTTCCGTGCTCAGTAATGACACAAAGTTACTATACTGTAATGGAGCATGACAAGTATGTCAATTAAGCTTGCAGTTATTTTGTGTCATGTTTTATCCGTATTGATTATATCTAAATATAAGAATCAAGGCTTAAGGCAAAGGGATTACATGGCTAAAATCCATAGTATTAATATTAAAATGTAGTTCTTCTGATTGCCTATGTAGTATACATTAAAAAAGTTACTTGAAGAAAAGAAAGGAGAAAAAACTGACTAGAAATTCCAAGGTTGCTACATGCCTCTGTCCCACGAAAATTTGAAAACTTATTTCAATTTTATATTTAAGTGAAAACATCACATAGTTAGATGATTGTCAAATACAAAACAGTAATTCACTGGTTCAGAGTCTTGTAGTTTTTCTATAATGAAAACACGATCTTCCTCCCACACTGTGTCTTCTTAATTTGAAATTTGTTCTTGAGTATAGAAATGTTTTCTTAATGAACTGAGGTAGTGGAAGCATACCTTCATGTTTCCTAGTCGTCTTGTTCTGTCAACCACAAGAAGCTTTTTAATAAGATCCCTGGACAAACAAGGAAAGATGATTTTTTTTAAAAAAAATATACAAGTTTGTATGGTTACCTTTTCACTGAAGGAATTACATCTTAGAATATTTCCAGTACTGAGCTGACCAGTAATAACTCTAAGAAGGTAGGAGGAAATAAATCCATCTACTTCTGGTAGAAACTTAAACTATGTGTGAAGAATAATATGTCTTATAAGCTATAAGGTCTGATTAAATGGACCTTTAAAACTCATAGACACATATCTGTAGACGTGTTAATATATAATCTTTTTTCTAGACAGATTTTCATTTTATTAAATCTTTGCTAATGTACTTTTAAATGATTATAAAGTTAAGCAAAAAAGTAAAAAAGTTTGGTTTTGCTTCCAGGATTTTTTTTAAAATCAGATTATGTCAATTCTATCTTCAAATTTTCAGGAACTTTTCTTCCAAGTTCTGGATATTAACTAGAACTGCACAAACGTCCCCAAAGTTTAAACAACTGCATAGTTCTTAAGCAATTAAGCTAGTTGCTTACCATGTCTTTCACAATTTAGGAAAACAAGTATAATCTTAAGAAAGCTTCTTAACTGAATGAATTTGCACTTTGGTAGGGGTCCTTCAGTAAGGCAACATTTATGCCCTTTTTATGTATGCAAAGTTGTTCATCTAGAAGCCTCTGGAAACAGTACAAATAATTCTGCCTAAGAATTTTATTCCTAGTGAGAAATTTTCCCACAATTGGTAAAAATAAGTTTTGAAATTCCATGCCTTTTAAATTTGTACCTTGAACAAACTGTACCGAAAAGTCTTAAAATAAAAATGTATTCCTGTTTAATAAAGTTCAGCTACAATTACCCCAGAACTTGGATGATATGATCAGACCCCCCCTTTTTGCAATTCTTTAGTTGTTATGTAAAACCACTCCTCCTTAAGCATGTAAATTTTAATATGAAAATAAGGCCTAATGAAAATCTGATTCTTAAATTAAAATGGAACATTTACAAATGATCACTCTTAGTCCTCTGAATATTAACCAATGCCTGAAATATATACACTGTTAGTTTTTCATATTATTTACAGTTACTTTGTATCTGAATGCAATGTGTCAGAATCCAATTATACTTCATCTCCAGTTATCAATTATAGAAAACCCCATTTCTGCCCTCTCTGGATTCTGCCATAAAGAAAGAGAGGGGGGTGAACAAAGGGGCTTTATGGCCCTCACTTCCTTTGGTACAACTTCAAAGGGTTTGAATGTGGTTAGCACCAAAAGGCCTTATCATAACAAAGGAGGCTATTTACCTTTCATGTAGTTTATCTGAAGTCTCCATCCAGACGGAAGAAAGGAAAAAAGGGGTGGGATTGTGATGCCTGAAACTGTCACTGGAAGAGGGGGGTGATTGGGTGGGACTACTGGGGAACCCCTTAAAACCTCGAATGGGAGAGCTTGAACCCCAAGTCCTGTCTAGAACGCCTGCAACCATTTTCTCTTAATAAAGGATCCCTGTTGGAAGAATTATTCCAAGAGTTCTGTCTTCTTAAGCTATGGGAATACTGCATAAACAAATTGCCTGCACTGATTCTCATTGTGAGACATCACTAGCAGCAAATCACCTTCTTTTAAACAGCCATGGCATAATACCAGGTAAAGCTCCATTTGGGAACAACGGGGATTATACAGAAGCTTTCAGTCTTTAGATCAGGGGTGGTAACTATGGCCCTTTTACAACCTGTGGACTTCAACTCCCAGAATTTCTGAGCCAGCATGGATGGCTCAGCAATTCTAGGAGTTGAAATCAAGTGATCATAAAGGGACCATAGTAGCCCTCCCATGCTTTAGATCAGGCATGTCAAACTCGCAACGTCATGTGACATTGTGCGACGTATCGCGACCTTTTCCCCATTGCCGGCAATGGGGTGGGCGTGGTTTCAGTATGATGCGTCCAGCCTACGGATGCATGCCTGCTTTAGATGATCAGCTTCAACCTATGTTTTCCACGAAACTTTAAATTATCCCAGATATACTTCCTTAATTTGCTGCTTTCTACATATGTTGGGCATAGATTTTTCTAAATTCAATCAACAAGCCCCAAAGCCCTGAAACTAAAAATTCTGGATATTAATATTCAGATACAACTGTCTGGCTAAAAGCCAAAGAAAATCATTGTTAGAAATAATAATAATAATAATAATAATAATAATAATAACAACAACAACAACAACAATAACAACAACAACAAAGAACAGAATAGAGGCATGGGAAGACAAATCACTACATGGCCAGTGCATTTAAAAAAATAACTGAGGGTAAGGGACTGGGCAACTTGCTGCCCGATGCCCCTGCTGTCCACATCTGAAATACTTGATTGGTGGGCCAGCAGGTGGCCTGGGATTTTCAGTAGCCGCATCGGTTGGAGGCTTTTGTTTGGGCTGATTTGGCCTCAACTCGGCTTCTTGTGGGGGTGGCTTCTTATAACGAGTGAGCTGAACATCTAATCTTACTGCTGCCTGATACCATTCTTGCAGCTGATCAGGGACTGCTTGATAGATACAGGCCTGGGAGAGGTGGTCGTCTAGTCCCTCCTTAAAGTGATGTACTAGGGATTGCTCAGGCCACCTCTCTATTCAGCCAGCTATCTTGCAAAACTCTTGTACATATTTCAGTGCAGGCCTGCTGGCTTGTTTTATTTTGTGGACTTGTTCCTCCGCTTTGAGGGCAATGGAGGAGTCCTCGAACCTTTCTCTCAATCCTAGGAGGAAAAGATGGGGGTCTTCCAACTCGGGTGCTTGCTCGTTATATAAATTGTTTAGCCACTCAGATGCTTCCCCTTCCAAGCTGGATGCAATCATGTCGACTATAGCAGCTAGGTTCAGACAGAAATAGGCACAGTGTCAAGACTGCTAACATCGGATGTTCTTGCTTGCCATATATGAAGAAGCACACCTGTTTTATTTAGCCGTATAGCATTTCTAGAGTTAAGGCAGATAGCAATAGTTTAAGGGGTGGGAAAGTATGCAAGTTAACCATAACAATGTCTGGGCACAGTGTGGCCAAGGTCAGCTCAGCTGCAACAGGAGGGGCACCTCACGCTTCACATTAATTGGAGAATGTGATTGATGACTGTAAAATGAAGGAGTGAGTTATGCTTTGTTACAGATGCTTGGGGAAGGGAGGATTCAGTTTCTGGCTTAACTTTGTTAGTGCCGAAGCTATGCAGAATAATAAAAGATTCTTTTAGAGGAAAAAGCCTCAAAATTCTTTGAAATCTGCTTTCTTTCGGAACCATGTCATCAAGCCAGAAACCACAAACTTTTAAATTCATTTAGGGGTCCCTTACCCCAGTCACTATCCCTAAGCTAACGGGGATAGCTGACAAAGATTTGGGGAAGATCTCGCCATGGAAGAGAAAAAAGTGCCTGAGGCCGGCACCCCCCCAGCCGCAGCTTCTCCAGGAGGAACAGCAGCAGCAGCTTCTCCAGGAAGGGAAGGGCCAGCTACCCAGACAGTGGAGAAGAAACTCTGGCAAACTCCACAGCTGGGAGCAAGGCCAAAACTATCAGGAGAGCTGATTTGGTCGTCAGACTGGGACAAGCCAAGCAAAGGCTCTGGAAGTTTCCACACAGCCTTGCCAGCAGATGAGCGTGAGTCACGGCGAAGGGATATTTACATATCACATTCCTCCCAACAATGGAGAGCTGCCCGGCCATCTATCGCTGAAGACTCGGGTGAGTGGAAATACCCACCTGCAGCTTGCAGTGGGTCATTAGAATACCTAGCAGAAAGATTTGAAGAATTAGAAGTGCAGAGCGAAGAGCAACTCCCATTGAGAGAGGCCCCCAGCCTCTTCCTTGCAGATCAATTGGCTTTTCAACCCCTGGGGACCCCTGCCAAAGCCTCTAGCCCCACACAGAGAGGAGATTCCAGCCTGGGGCCCCTGCTGCAAGGTGAAATTGAGCAAATTCCACAGATAAGTGATCAGCCGTTTCCAAGCCTACACCAAATAATAGAGGCCTTGCAACAGCTCGGGCTAGTGCCAAAGCCAGGGGAGCTACAGCCAGTGAGCTTGCAGACGAGGGAGGCCCAACATGTCCAGCAGCCATTGAGGGGCCTACAGCAGCAGAGGGCGTCACCACCCCCTGCAGCCCAACAGCAAGGAGGGCTACTACTACCCCCGCTTACACAACCACCATTGGGAGGCCTGCAGCAGCAGGGGACACCCCCAGCCCCCACTGCCCAGCAGCAGAGGGCCCAGCAACTATTGGATCAGCAGTCAGGGTGGAACCAACTGCAGCAGGGGGCGCCATGCCGACTACTGAGAGCCCCGCAGCCGTTGGATCAGCAGGCTGGATGGGGCCAACTGCAACTGGGGGCACCACGTCAACAGTAGAGAGCCCCGTAGCAATGGGGCCAACAGCAACTGGGGGCACCACCAGCCCCCGCTGCCCAGCAGCAGAGAGCCCCGCAGCAACGGGGTCGACAGGCCGGATGGGGCCAACTGCAACTGGGGGCACCACCTCAACAGCAGAGAGCCCCGTAGCAATGGGGCCAACAGCAACTGGGGGCACCACCAGCCCCCGCTGCCCAGCAGCAGAGAGCCCCGCAGCAACGGGGTCGACAGGCCGGATGGGGCCTACAGCAACTGGGGGCACCACGTCAACAGCAGAGAGCCCAGCAGCAATGAGATCGACAGGCCGGATGGGGCCAAGAGCAACCCGGGTGGGGTCCGCAGCAGCCTGCATTCGCACCACCTTTCAAAGCAACGTTCGATGGGGACCCAGAGAAGCTGATTTTTTTCCTCAACCAAGTGCGTTCTCATTTAAATCGCTGGGCCTATCTCTATCCGGAACCAGGGGCCATGGTTGACGTCATTGCGGCCAACCTGGAGGGAGAAGCATCTGAATGGCTGAACAATCTATATAGCGAGCAAGCCCCCGAATTGGAAGATCCCCATCTCTTTCTCTTAGGACTGAGAGAGCGATTTGAAGACCCATCCATCGGCCTCAAAGCAGCAGGA